AATCATTTACGGTAGTCTCCTGAGGTTCAATTTAATGCTGATTGTGAAGTACTTTTTAATTCTAGAACAGACTCACTTATTACTCACTTTGCTCTTTGATTTGTTATGATTATTGCCCAACAAGTAAGTAATCCTGAAGATAACTTGGTTGTCACAATTACTTTATGTATGAGGAAATTCAGTGTCCTGCAACATGCAGAAGAGCGTGTAGGAAGGCATTGTTCAAGTCTGATTTACAATTTGGACTTCCATTTCTTTGTTCAGACTATAAAGAATATCTTTGCAGCAGTCTGAACAAAGCTTTAAAAAAAAAAGAAAATTGAAAAACCTTTCTACAGGTGAAATTGCTTTTCTAGAGTTAAAATGTAGGATTTTGTCCCCTCACTAGCAGATTTTCTTCTTGTCCAATTTCAATTCATTTTTGTTGTTTATTTAGTACAAATAGCTGTCTCTTGCTAAAGGTACATTAAGAACTACGGAAAAAGAGAGACGATTTTGTACCTCCTGTCTATTTCTATAAAATACTTGAGGAATGACATTTTCTTTTATGAACCTCATCTCCCAGCAGAGCCTGTCAGGTAGTTTCCTACTTTAAAGGCCACTTTGTTCATGTGGAATAACTTTCCACATAGTGAAGATTTAAAAACTTTTCTTGCCTACAAATATGCATAACTCATGGCCTAGGATCACCTTTGTAGATTAAGAAAACCTTCAAGGAGTCTGTGTACAAGTGTGTCCCTAAAAAAAACCATCAGGCTATAACACATAGTATTACCACCAGACAATTGTCAGCCCCTGTAAATAATTCTTCCTCTTGCTTGGGTGATAAGTACTTCCATGAGAAAATTAAGACATTCAGTAGATGCAGCTCTACAGATATTTCCTTTAATACCTTACACTATCTTTGTAATTATATTGGTGTTCATATATTTCAAAAATACCACCGACTAAATGTTTCATGACAGCGGTTTGCTTCTCATCCAATGAAGAAAGATGGCAGTCTATTTAAAGGTATCCCACTTGCTGTGTCGCCTGTGATTCCATTTTGAAAATGAGCTTTTTTAGATTTGACTTTTAAAAAATGTCAGGTATACTATTTTTAGAAAATAATTTGGAAGAGCAGTACACGCATTGGAAGTCTTTTGTGACATCAAAACAAATAGCCCTGGTCAAGGCAAAGTACGACCAAAGGTAGTGGCAGCTTTCTGCTGGATTGCATTTCACATGCAATGTTACTTCTGAGGCCTACCTCCAAAAATCAATTTTGCTGCAGTTAGACTTTTCCTCTAGATCAGACATTTGTCACAGTTCAGTATCCATCCATCTCCTGCCTCTTTGGCCTTGCGAAGGTAACAAATGGAATACTGTTTGGCTGTGTCTGGAAAAGATGAGCAGCGATTTGGGTTCTTTCATATCTGTAAGAAGCTGAGCATTGGAATAATTGACCTGTCAAGAAGCAGGCAAGGTGTTCTCCACAAGCCAGCAGCAAGGGAAATGAGAAAACGGTTTTAAAAATGTTATTTTTCAATGTGGTCTATTTAATAACTGCAGCAGTGTCAGATGACTGGCTTATTTTATGTCATGGTGCCAGCTTACAGAGTGGTATCAGAGAGAGGAAGCAGAACTGTTATATACATGTATGTGTATACGCATAAGTAAAGGAGCTAAATAAAATATTTTATGTTATAATTTTCACTATTTCTTTCACACTTGCTCTAAGGATGGACGATTTTTTTTTTCAATTGCATCCACTGTTTTAAATCTCTTTTGTAATAACTTTGTGGAATAGTATTTGTTCTGCATGTTGTTTGTCACCACAAAAAATATGACAGTTGGTAATGGAAGTCTCCTTAGTTTTTATCCGCTGCTGTCAATTCCATCTTGCCTTAGTGCAGCTCTTAAAATGATACTTTCATCTGCATTCATCAGCTGCAATTTTAATTTTGCTTCAAACTTACCATATATCCCCCCCGCCAAAAGACACACTGATAGAATATCAACTAGAATATTCATGCAGTTCAAATGCAAAGACAAATGAATACAGTATGTTTTTCTTTAAATGCTAGAGTACGGTATGCATTTTACATTTCTTTAGCATTTACTCTCCTCTCTCTCTCTTTCTGTGTTTCCAGGTATGTGTATATAAGAAATTATATTTCAAATGCCCTTTGTGTTTGAGGATGAAAGTAAATACATTTCAGCAAGTTGTTCCATTGTACTTAAAACTAAAAATGAGTTATACAGTGTTAAGCTTTGCCACTTTTATGATTATCATTTTAATGTAAAATGTTGTTGTAATTAATATCACACACATACATTTATTCATGGTTCCGCTGTTATTGAATAACTTGAAAACTTTTAAAATGCTAATTTTTTTACTGTGTGGCAAATTATTTCACTTGCCATAAAATACGCAATGCAGCTATTAACTTCACCAATTTTATGCTGTGCACGATTGCAAGGAGTAGCCCAAGGCCACCTTTTTGTGCTTCACTTGAACTGGCTAAGAGTCAAATTGTCCACAATACAGTTTCCATTTCTCCCCTCCAGTACACTGTTTCTTTGCATCATTCAAGGTCACAAGGACTCTACCTGGGACTATTTGCTTTGCAGCTGAGCCATCATCTGAAAAAGTAGTTGCCAAAATACGCAGCCTCACAGGACAGTAATACATGTCATTTTCCCTCTAATTTTTTTTTTTTTCTGATGTAATCTTGTACGGTCCCTTGTCCCCACCTCTGATACCCTAGTTTTAAGTTGTGTGATTTCTGCAACAGGCCAACTCTTCAGGGTTATCAGGGTAAGGATTTGAGCTCAGCTCTTTGAGTCTGTGCCAGGTCAAGTGCTGAGGAGCATCCAAAGTGGGAACATAGCCAGTATCAAGAGGCCATGGGGAAAAATAAGGAAATCTGGGTTGACTCAGGAAATTTGACTACTCCTGGTATCTGTGTCTGTGTTTAGTTGTGTTAAACACACCAGACTTTAATACAAAGATGCCAGTGGCTCTTTGCTTTTCCGATAAGCGTGGTCCAAGGATGTTCATGCAGTCAGGAATATCTGTTGAAGATAAGACTAGAGTCCTGTTGCCATAGAGCTTAGCAGTGAAGGAGTCCTCTCTGGATAGGAATACTCTAGAGCAGGGTACTGGAGTCAGGGAGCTGTGACACATGACACGAGATCCCCGAAACTAGAGGGCTATCCACATTTGAAATTGGGGCAGGGGGGAGTGGTAAATATTTTAGGTTCTGGTACAAGGCCTACTATAAGTCTTCAAAATAAGCTTCCATATTAACATACAAACATACTAACAAACATAACAACAAAACATATTAAATGTTTTAAGATCCCATTAAAGGCGATGACAAGTACGTGGAAGAAAAATTCTGTAAGGAGTTATTAAACACAAAGATACCAACCTGGAACAGAAAGTGTCTGAGCAACAGGCTTCTGTGAATTGTAAAATTGTCCTGGAGAGGTACCACTACATGCTTGCTTTATTAGTTCCTCCTTTCCCAGCCTCTATCTATTAGTTTTGTTGAAGACTGTGTGGATGGACTGGGATAAATGGCCTAGATGAGTACCAGGACTGGTTCAGTGCAGCTGATAATATTTTTTTTCCCCAGGGACTACACCTTAATCTAATACACTCGACTATGGTGACTTAGCTTGCCACTGCGGTGGAGTTTCAACACTTGCCTAGAAGTAAGGGAGGGGAGAGGGGAGTGCCGCCAGAAGTTTTGCCTGGCTGAGGAGGGAAGTATGCCACAGCCCTCCGCCGTGGCAGCTATAGCTGGGGCGGGAGAGCCCCCGCGTGGAGATGCCGCAGACGCTCACAGAGGGGACTTTTCCACAGTGGAGCTGCTGTGCCACTTCCCAAACAACACGCCCAGAGCCAACAAAAGCACCCTGCTGCTGCTGTAAGCTGCAAGAGGGGCTTTGCCAGCATAGCTCTCATCATTAACAACTAGGATATTTTTTTTTTTCACACTTGTAGCCACCTTAGCAGTGCTGGCGAGCAATTGTCTTGTAGATACGGCCTTGATACGCAGGGATCAACCAAACCAAACAGCTGTGAACGGTTGAACGGAACAGGACTCTAAAGAGAAGGCAACATTTGCTGAGGGAAAAGAGAACATAAGTATATATCTGACCTAACTTAGCACTTCCCCCGTTCACTGGCATTTGATGTAAAGCCCTGAACACTTTAACCCTTTCCCACCTAGGAGCTGCAAGGTTTTATGTTTAAAACTGTTAAATTAATGTCTTCCTGGAAAACAAACAGGAAACAAAAAAAGATCCTTAAATGTCTACTGCTCACCTTATTATTAGGCCATGTA